CCTGCCATGCGGGCAGGGGACTGGACTTGATGACCTCTCGAGGTCCCTTCCAGTCCTAGAATCTATGAATCTATGAGATAGAACCACAAGCCCTAATGATTTGTAATAGCGGAGGGAAAAATCAATATTTCTATTCTATTCACATAGACCAGTAAATAAGGTGCATTCCTTCTGCTTCTTAAGAAATTAGCATTTCAAAAATATGCCACTTTCCCCTGAACTCCAAGCGTGTCTAATAATGCGAGAAGCAGATTGTCTCCCCTCGTTTCCTTAATTTGTTTCATCTAAAAGCAATTCACTCAACATCTTGTCGCCCTCTGGCAGCTTAGTTTACTTATCCGCACTTAATTTCTCATTTGGACCAAAACAAACTCCTCCAAACTGCTAGTGACTGGGGGAAGCTCAATATGTATGTACTCGGGAAAAATCCCTCGCGCACACAGAGAGACTAGACAAACAACTTGCTTTTGCTTTTATGATGTTGGTTCAAAATTAAAGGGATCTCCCTCCCCCTTCCACGTAAAATAGTTGCAATTTCGCAGAATCCCGCGTCTTTCAATGAAAAGAAATATACCAAATAGCTTTCCTATCTCCTCATCGCCTAACGGGATCACTTTGTGTTTTAAAAACTCGAGCCTGGCTGTTTGTATCACCCAGTAATGTAAAACATACACTCAGCAAATCCTAAGCACGCCAATGGATTCACTTGTGATTCTGACAGTACAAAACACAGAGATGTCCTACATCGAGTGGAGAGCGGCAGAACTAATTGGGGTTAAATTCTTTAGAGAGAAATTCTGACCAGAGCTTTTAGGGAGAGTGTAACCCCAACAGCTCGGTGAATACGGGCACCAACAGCTGAAGCAGAGGGAAAACCCTGTAGGTTGCCACACAGAAATGCCTATCAGCTCAGCCTACATGTCAGCCTCGACTGCTTTGGAAGGGGTCAGCATGCATAAGCAGCCCCCATGGAAGGCCAGCAGCAGGAAATCAAAGGGAACCCCCAAAGAAGGTTGCATCCAGCGGGTACAAACCCTGAGCTAACTGATGCGTGCTGAGAGCACGGTGTACGGATAAAGTCGGGAGGAGCAGACAAGTGTGTGAGATACATAGAGCGCCTGCATGCGAGGATATTGACAGAGATCCATCGAGTACAACTGGACTGTGTTTAACTGGGGGGTGGAGGGCCTCCGTCGGTGCCCCCCCCCCCGGATGTGTTTAAATCCAAGCGTTTTTACTTATTTGTGATTGGGGGAAAGACCATACTACAGGCAAGAAAGGTCTGAACTTGACAACCGAGTTCCTACGTTACACTAGTCCTGGGCTGGGGTGATCCCGAGACTGTGCAAACGCCCCCTCCCAGCAGCGTTTTCCCACCTCGCCTTTGCAGAGCTCCCCCTCCGCTTTGCAATCACCCAGCGGCTGCAACTTCGGAGTGCGGGGCTCCAGCTCCCCTCTCCTGCCGGGGCCTCGCCGTTGTCCCCCCCGGCGCGCCCCTGCACCAGGGAGAGCGGAGCAGCTTCCCCCCAGCTCGGCGGACGCCAGCCCGCGGGGAGCCGAGGGGAGTTTACAGCGGGACCGCGGCCAGGAGCCGCTGCTGAAGGACACTTCGGGAGCCGGGAGCAGCAGCATGTTCGGGGGGGGTGAAGTTTGTGGCCAGCCCGTGTCGCCGCTCGGCTCTAAAGCCGGGCAGCGAGGGCGCGAACTATTAATGCAGAATTTGGGGGGGGTCAGCTAGAAACGCTGCAGCTTTCGGGGGCTGCCAGCCAGCAGGGCAGAGCCTGCTCCGCGCTGCAACCGAGCTCCCGCGCCCCGCAGAGAGCCCAGCTGGGCGGGCTAAGGCAGTAGCCCCGCGCGCAGGTGGGGAAGGGGCGCTCCCACACCCCCCTGTGCACCCCGCTAGCGCAGAGAGAGACACCGGGATCAAACCCCAGAGCAACCCGCTGCCCCTGGCCGCTCTCCTCGGGTGGCAGAGGGCTAAGCGCTCGGTGTCTCCCCTACAGAGAACACAAAAAAAGTAGCCACTGATTGATATTGTGTTTTTTGCCACATCTAGGCAAACAGGCATGGCCGGAGCTGAACGCTCGCTGCCAAAACCACAGGGAAATACCGCGGCACAGAACTGAACCCAAAAGGGGGACTCAAAGCAAAACCCCGGGAAAATAAACCCGGATCGGCTCAGGGTCCTCTCCCAACGTGCAATACACACACACGCCGTCTCCCTGCATGAAATGCACCATCCAAAACCCAGGCGGCAGGTTTCACAGCTGCCTCCGCTTTGCAAACCCACCTGCCTGCGCCGCGCCGGGCTGGAGAGTCCCGGAGATCACCAGGCAGCTGACCCAGCACACGAGTCGCTCGGCCAGCTTCATGGTTATGTTAAAGGGCGGCCTCAACTCCTGGTAGCGATGTTACATGGTCCAAATGGCATCTCCCCTCGGCGGCGAACGTGGACCCCGGCGCCCGGCTGTGGGGACGAGGAGCGAGGCACGGTGCGTTTGCTTCCTCCAGTCCCGGCGGGGAGTGAGAGGCGGATTCCTCACTTGGCAAATCTGTTTGCAACAAGTTGTTCCCCAGAAGTCGCCGGCTCCCTGCCTTGGAGTCCCACTTTCTCTCCTTTTTTCTCTTCCTCTCTTTCTTCTCTCCCCTTCTCCTGGCTTCACTTTGGGAAGGGGGGGTTGTTTGGCTGCCCCCCTCCTTCTCCTCTCACTTGTCCGGGGGGGCTGCAGTACTCCGATCTCAGAGCGCCAATTCCATTTACTCCCTTTCCCCGGCTGCTACGCGGAGATTAACAAGACACCCCAAAAAATAAAAAAATACACAGAGGAGCAGGGAGGTTGGAGCAACACACAGCAAGCCCCGCCTCCGCCTGTGCATAAGCCACGCCCCTTCTGTACAAGCCACGCCCCTCCTCCCCGCTTACACCGGCTCGCTGCGCCCTGGAACGCGCTGCCTGGCTTGGGCACACCTGTCACGGGTGGAGGGCAGCAGCCAGGCGCGATCCCTGCCCGCAGGTTACCATGGAGCAATGCACAGGCAGCCGCTGGACGTAAACACAACAATGTGCCTGCGAGAGACGCGCCTTTTAACAGCCCAGTGTTTGATTAGCTGCGCATTGAGCCCGCGGCAATCCCGAGCGGTACCGCCGCTGGGGTTTTCAGGGGGTTGTTTCCTTCTTCCTGTTCTGTGCAATCGCGGGGGCCTTTGCTTTCCCCGCCTTGCAATCAGCTGTTGCACCTGTTTGTGCTGGGGAAGGGGTTGTGGTGCAGACGCAAGCGTCCTTTAATGCAGGCTGAACCCTCATTTGTATTTGGGGGTTGCCCCCCCCAAAAAAGGGGGCCTGGGCTGCGAACCTAAATTGAACGCGCTTCTCATTCCGCGGCGCTTGCAACGAATATAGCTACAGACGTTTCTGGCCTGAGGTTAGACCTGTGGAGCAGCGCCAGCCCCTGAGGAAATAACGCAGCTTGTGGCGGGGATGGGGAGGACTTTTTTTTCCCAATCCAACTCTTCGCTAGGAGTGTGTCCGCTTTACAGCGTGTCTAGGGCGCGACGGGGCTGAGCAGCGGCTGCTGTTGCAAACTGAAAGGAAAAGTGAAGTGGTGGCAGCCCGTGATCTCCCCCACACAGGCTCTAAAAGGAAGCAGAACTTTCTCCTTTGGGGTGGGGATCCGCTGTGTCTACACTGAGCTACTTACTCCGGCTACTGTTCGCTGATTCACTGATTGGCCCGGCCCGGTGCGGTGGCAGGTCGGCGAGGCTGCAGTTTGCTGGTTTCCCTTTCAGGTGGCATAATTTTAAAGAACAGAAATGTCTGGCGCTCCTATGATTCAGCTCAACAGATGGGATTTCTCCAAAAATAATCCGAAGGGGTTTTTAATAAAGAACCAAGGCAGGAACTATTCTGGATCCAGGAGCTGCTGCCAATTAAAGTACTCTAGACTATCGTTACTCCTGAGGTTTAATACTGAGGGGAGCATTTTAAAATGAGTTAGAAACTTGCAGCCTTCTGTACCTTATTTAAGGTTTTGAGCCTGCTCTCCTCTGACTTCGGACAGCCCTTCCCAGCCCCCAAAAAATTCGAATAGTCCCCCAGTTGCTGCCCCTTCCCTCAACTTCTGCAGTGACTCCTCTCAAACCACAACTCTCCCATAAACCCTGGATTCCTTTCTCTGCACATTTATAAAGACTCCAGCAGGTAGTATTTTAGGCAACCTCCTTGCTGGGCCTTTTGCTCCCCCCTGACCTAAATCACCCAGTGCATTTTGCATGCCAGCAGACTTCAATGCACTGGTGACCCTAGCCTGGCCCTGGCCCGGCCCTGTAATCTTCAGCACACTGGTGCCTGCTTCGGGGAAGAGGCCTGAGCTGAAGCAATGCCGAACATTTGCAGCAATCATTGACTTGAAGGGGAGGTGTGGGGGTGCAGCACTTACACTTATCAGGCGGTTGGGGTTTCATGAGTTGGGAGGAAGGACTGGACTCAACCTATGCTGGGAATTGGAGAATGGGAGGGAGTAGGCTGTTGCTTCCTAACTAAACCAGAGGAAAAGGTTGAAGTAGGTTGAATGTTCAGGCAGATAAAGTAACTATCTTAGCGAGCTGGCTAATGCTGTTTTTTTTTATATATATATATACAGCTTTTTGCACACAGATGTACCCCCAATTTATTTTTATCTGGTTTTCTACTTTTTGGAAATGCAGAAATGAATGTGATTGGACTAATGACTCATCTTCCACCTAGCAGAGACAAGGGGTGGGGTGAGGTAATACCTTTTATTGGACCAACTTCTGCTGGTGAGAGAGAGATGCTTTTCAGCAACACAGAGCTACTCTTCAGCAAAGCTTGTCAGTCAGCCAACAGAAGTCAGTCCAATAAAAGATATTACCTCACCCACCTTGACTCTCTAATATCCTGGGACCAAAGCAGCTACACCTACACTGCATACTTTCCCCTAGCAGTCATTCGTAAGCTCCTTTCTTGACACATTTCCTTTCTGCCACTGAAGTTAAGCATGTGATCAAAGGTAGTCTATGTCACATTGTGTTATTCTAGTAACATGGTCTAGATGTACAAGTGTAGAAATAAGCAGCACGTATGTGGACATGTAAACTGGCACTCAGCTACAGTTACCAACCACTGTCAGGATAGTGGGCTAGATGGACCCTGGTCTGATCCAGCATGACAATTCCTAGCTTCCTATACCCCTGTGATGGGAGAAGTACAAGAACCTAAAATGGAACAGAACGTCTATTTGGAGTGGATTATAGTTACTGACTCGCTCTAGCTCAGAAATGTATCCAGCAGAGCAAAACAGCAAATGCTAACATACCACTGTAAATTGTTTTGAGCAGTTCACTACATCTCTAATTAAAATCTGTCCGATTCCTCTTGCATCCATCCTAGGGAACAGAGCCTGTTTTCTGGCGACTGTTCCTTGGTATTAAACTACCCAATATAGAACAAAGCAGCCAACATTTAACAGTCCCTAAATCCAGACTCTTTGCAAACAAATTAACGCTACAGCAAGTGCATGGGTGGATGAAGGACATTGATGCCCATTCAGACAGAGTCCAATCCTGCTCAATGATATTTTTCCATTGACTTTGACTTCAATAGGAACAAGAACAGGTTCAGTGTATCGTATGTCCAGTATTTAGTATCAGCTTTTCTATACTGTGCATGAAAATGAGCAAGTGCTAAACATAATAATATGAGTGTATGGAGTCCACCATTCTCAGACAACTTTTTCAGCCTGTTACCTGCACAATTTAGGGCACCTCGCCTTTTACCCTGTGAGGGATTAGGGCACGACCCGGTTAATTTAGGCACCCCCAACCTTTTCCTTCTGTGGGCTTGGGGTATAAGGCACCCACTCTTACCCGTCCAGGACTTCAGGGCAAAACCTGGTCAAATTAAGTACCAGCTCTTATCCCTTTCCCTGGAGGCTTAGGGTTTTATGGGTCTGCTGGATCTTTTCCCAGTGAAAGAGTCTTACACAGCTGTGCTCTAAACCCGTGGCTCTCAACCTTTCCACACTACTGTACCCCTTTCAGGAGTCTGATTTGTCTTGCGTACCCCCAAGTTTCACCTCACTTAAAACCTACTTGCTTACAAAATCAGACATAAAAATACAGAAGTGTCACAGCACACTGTTACTGACAAATTGCTTATTTTCACCATATAATTATAAAATATATTGTACTTACATTTCAGTGTATAGTATATAGAGCAGTATAAACAAGTCATTGTCAGTATGAAATTTTAGTTTGTACTGACTTCGCCAGTGCTTTTTATGTAGCCTGTTGTAAAACGAGGAAACTATCTAGATGAGTTGATGTATCCCCTGGAAGACCTCTGGGTAACCCCAGGGGTACATGTATCCCGGTTGAGAATCACTGCTCTAAACATCATCTTTTTATTAGCAATTCACAAAATACATATACAGTACCAAGCCAAGCTATTATGCTTACCACTCCAATATACAGACAAATCTTACCCAGTGGCCAGTTGGGATTCACTTGTCTGGGGATCCAGCACCCTTACACGTCACGGTTATACAGGGGGTATGATGCCTTGCAGCTTGTTTTTGCATGGCCGTTTGGAGTTTATTTTTAAAGAGCCTTGTTTTTTATTTACATTATATAGGTAAATCTAACTAACTATTTTAAAAACAATTATGAAACCTATTACATTGCCCAATACCCCCAGGTAACAAAATTTAACCAATTATGCATTGGCACCTATAGGTTTTTTTCCTGCTAAAGTCTTTTACATTTTACTGTTTATGCCCAAATTGTAACTTATTTATGACTTTTTTTTGTGTAGATGGTCAGCATAAATTCACTGGTCAGAGCTTATTTTATTTACTACCATTTTGTTTGATTATAGGGGTAGGTTAGGTCCCAGGCCTACAGGCAGCTTGGTGATGAGAGTGTAAAAGGAAATCTCTGTGTCTCGCCAAATGTTTGACATGTAGACTGGTGACAATTTATTATTCCCTCTCTGCGCTCGATTCAGATTGTGTTGAAGGAAATGGGAGCTGAGTTGGGTTCTGTAACAGCTAGAGAGAAGGGGAGAGGGTAATTTCTTCAGACTTCTTTTCAGTTTAGGATACATTTTGTTGATGGGGCACCAGATTAGGATTCATGAAACCTGGGTTCAGTCCTGTCTCTGCCACTAGCTTGCTGGGTGATCTTGGGCAAGTCATCTCACCATTTTGTGCCTTGGTTTCTCCATCTGTAAAATGGGGATAACGATACTGACCTCCTTTGTAAAGTGCTTTGAGCTCTGAAGATGTAAACAGCTATATAAGAGCTAGGTGATACAGTGTCTGTAGCAGTGTGTCTTCTGCCCTATATAGGGTTGCCAACTTTGGTTTGACATATTCCTGGAGGTTTCATCACATGACAATCTTTAATTAAAGATTAATCTTTAATTCTGGAGACTCCAGGACACTCCTGGAGGACCCTAGCCCCATCTCACCTAATACACCTTTTTAATGATGGTCAAGGATAACCTCTAGCCATCAGTCCAAAAGTATTCATCATAGCCTCCAAACATTATTTTTGATGTAAAAGAAAGCAGCACCTAACATGTATTCTACTAAAAGCTCATCTCTGCTGCAAAATGTTTGTCACTTAAACAGAACATTTTTCACCCAGGAATTCATTTAAAATAAACTCAAGTCACCCCCCACTCCTCCAAACGCCAATTTTTATTGCCTCTTTTCCAATTAAGTTCCAGGCTCTTTCTTCTTTAAAATCCCAAAGTCAAGGCCATATTTCAAGTGGGATTACAGTTCTTTTTCCAAAGCATGAAAGTTTTAGTGGAAAAGAATGAACAGGACTCTGCAGAAAAGGGACTGTAAAGAAT